ATTAGCACCTGTCTATTTACATGATCTATTAAATGTAAATGATCGTAAATATTCTTCAAATATAGTAATATACTGGATATTCCACATGTAAAAACTACACAGTTTGGTAAGAAAAGTTCTAGATTTGCAGCTGCTACTCTGTGGAACAGCCTACCTGACCATTTGAGGACTTAAAATAGTTTTTCTCAATTTAAGAGCCTTATACAGTCCTGGAAATGGATCAAAATGCTGCTGTTCTGCATGTAGATAAGATTTTTCATATTTTTAAGTAATTGCTTAATGTTTGCATTATGCCTTAAATTTTGCATACATGTGTGCTAATTTGCTGCTTATATATCTTATCTGCATGTTCTGTGTTTTAATGTATGTATATGTTATTTATATTCAGTAAAAAGATCTATTATTGTTATATGTGAACTGAATCAAAATAAAACTTTCGTATTCGTATCTATCCATATACTTATTAATTACACAATTTCTATTCAAAGGGAAATAACTCAAAATAAAACCAAGACACCAAATGATAGACTATCTATCCATTATACTTATTAATTACACCATTTCTGTTCAAAGGGAAATAACTCAAAATAAATAAATCATACAAAAAAAATCACTTTTGCTACATCCCCAAATCAATAACCAATTTTTCTTTTGAAAATCCTGTTAAAAATAGAAAAGGTCTGCTGACTGATGAATTTTAAATTAGTTAATTTAATAAATTTATATCAGACACCTACATGTAGTCTGCGATGCAACAGAAAACTACCAGACTGTTGCCAATGTCTGACTGTTATAGTAAAATAGAAAATTTAGAATTACATTTGATTAAAGATAATTAAAATGGAATATACCGGTAAATCGTAAGTAAAAAGGGAGATATCAAAATATTAAAACATGATAATCTAGAGCACTAACATAAGTGATTGTCTTTTGTAAGCCTTATTGAATATTTGTTTCTGTTTTCTTTCCATAAACTGATGCAGACACTTAATTTTACAAATATGTAACCATGGTAACCAATCATGTGTACAAATCAGTGTTGAAATATAAGGCATGGAAGTTATAAAAGTGTAAAGCACAGAAAGGGATACAGTAGCACTCCTTGGAACAGTTGAATGATTTTAGACTTGAAAGAATCTGTAGTATAGGATTTCAGAAAACATGAAAGTCTTCTTCCACCAAAAATGGCTGTTTTCACCTAAAAATTTACTTGGACTTTTTGGAGTAGAGACAACCCTTTGCAGTTGGAAAAGTTTGAAGTCCTAAATTTCAATAGATATATGAAAGCTAAATGCATTTTTTGTGTTTCAGAAAGCCATTGCAGTTGAAAATAAAAGTTAAACATTTGCAAAGAAGCCTGTTTTTAATATACAGCCAGATAAAATATCAAAGAAGCCTGTCTTTAATATACAGCCAGGTAAAATATCAAAGAAGCCTGTTTTTAATATACAGCCAGGTATCATGTGATGAGATTGTCAAACTTTTAGGTATTGATATTGATTATCAACTTAATTTTTAATCATCAAATTAAAAATGTTAGTCGTAAAGCATCTTAACAACTGAATGTTTTAAAGCTTATTGGTTGCTACCTTACTTAATTAAATAAATTGACCATTTTTCACACATTTTTATTTTATCTAATTTTAAGTTTTGTCCTTTGACATGGCATTTTTGCAACAAACATAATACCACTTAATTAGAAAAAAATCAGGAAAGGGCTTCATGATTCATATACAATGTATGAAGACTCTGTTAATTTGTATGATGAATTACTTGTATGAGCAAAGGTTCCATCACTGAAAATTAGACATATGCACAACGTGGCTATTGAATGATTTTATGTAAATTGTCACCATATAAAAAACGTGGACCATGTTTACATGGTTTAGTTCTTCTGAAAGATAGTTAATATATTTCTAGATATTGTTATTTTGTAGATATACCTAGGGTTTGAACATCAACCTATGGTAAGAACTCTTTTAAATATACATTTGCTGTTTTATGGAATGATCTACATTTGTACCTCAAGTCCTGATGGTTTTAGAAAAATTTCTAATTTCAGTAAGTTTAAAAATATTTTAAAGTCATGGAATGGATATTACTGTAAGTGCACAGTTTGTGCAGATTATATTAAATGAATATATTATGTTAAATCTTTACCATTTAGATCATATCCTAATCATAATATTTTATGCTATGCATTTTACCAGCTTTTTAATCATGCTTAGTTTACATTTTTATATAGTTTAACAGGGATCTACATGACTTGTTTTATGATGGCATCGTTAAATTGTCTTCCACCATCGTCAAATTATCCCCCCCCTCCCTATCATTAAATTATCTTCTATCCTCGTCAAAATTTGTTTTCGTTTTGTTAGCCGCTGCCATTTTCAGTGATGGAACCTTTGCTCATACAATAACTATCGATTATTGAATCACTTTACAAGTTTAAAAGTAAATGCATGATTATTAACTACAACTAAATAATCTAAAGAAATATATTTTGTACAGTAATTCTGAATTCATTTCTTAGTTTACAATCAAATCAGTACATCTGGTTTACATTCAGATTAAAAAGATGCATGTTGCATAGTGTTTTACTATGAAATTTGCAATGTAAAGTAATTAAAACTAATTAAGTTGTAAATGTTTACACGACACAAAATGAAGCACTATAATTAAGCATGCTATTCAATTATAGTGCTTCATTTGGTGTTGTGAAAATGTGCATTTTTTTGTTAGTCATAAGTATGATAAAGGAGAAAAATATTTTTGCTGAGTCCAGCAAGTTTTAGGTTTTATTGTGTATTCTGTTTACTCTAAGAATAAGAATAAAGAAGTTAGTAAAGTTGTTAAGGTGTACTATATGATAGGGGTAAACTACGAGCAAGTCTTAGGATTTTAATGTGCATCCTTCGATTAGTCATAAGTATGATAAAGGAGAAACAGACATTTGCTGAGTCGAGCAAGTTTTATGATCAATGTGTATTCTGGATATATTCTATTGATGAAGAAAGAGTCACAAGTGAGACAAAGGACAAAATGACAGTTGCTGAATCTATCAAGTTTTAGATTTTAAATATGACTGTATATACCAGTTTGAACAGTATTGTCCGTTAATTCCGTCCATCTGGTAAACCCGCCCACTCCCATTTACTTCCGTAATTGTCACTTCCGTGAATATTTCATCTGCTATTTTATTCATAGGAACTGTACTTATCATTACTGCATGTCAAATGTTAAAGAAAAATCCTTTATTACGAAAATATCTAGTGATATATATATAATACAGTTCCTAAAGCTAACAATAATCTATTATTGCTTACAAAAACTTGTTTCTGCCTTGAAATTTTTTTTTTTTCGATTGTCTGGAATCCCTTTATAAGTGGTCTATTGGTAGATCACCTTTTCCTTTCATAAATATGTGATCAACTGGTCATCATAAATATTTACTGTCCATGGGCGGATTTACCGGACAAACACATTTCCGATAAAAACACGGATGACCCACTTGTTTTGTTGATTTTAAAATTTATTTTAGATATTTTTTTTGGAAATGAGATAAACTACTCAAAGTTGATTTGTCAGTGAATCGATTTATGTTAAATTTGATACAATTTGTATATAATTACATGTAAGCAGAAAATCATACGGTCAAAGCCTTATATGGGCGGATTTACCGGACTGCATCGAATATATATCAGTCAGGGGACTTACTTAAATGAGTGATTTTCTAAATCACTGATTCAAGTAACATTATGTCCATAAAGGTTGGAAGTAAGAGTTGTCTTTCTTTAATAATCACCTATTTAAGTAGTACAAATTAATCACTAGACTAAGTGATTTAATTTTATTGTAGCTTTAAATAAAGAATACTAATGATCCATGGACTAATTATGTTGCTAAAATTATCAGAACTAACATCTGTGTTGATAGGATGACCGGGTCATGTCGGGTGATGACCTTGTATTAAATCTAGGATAATGACATAAAAATCACTTGTTTAAGTATCATACCTCAATTTCCTTCCAAAAAATCACTTCTTTAAGTATCATTATTTAAATAACCCCCACTAATTTCAACACCCCCGAACAGTGAAATTTTGATCGCAAACAGTAGAATTTTATTACATAATCTGTAAGATGAAACCTTGAATTTTACAGAAAAAATACTCCCACTGCTGGGAAAAATCTGTTAAGAAAGTATCAGTTCATTATGTAAAGCCATTTTTTTAGCATTTTTTCAACTAAAATAGAATTTGCAGCTAAATGATTGCATCAAAGGCATAAACCTTGCTGCTTAAAAGAAGCATGAAGTTCATTTTTTTCAATTTTACTAATGAAAAGATATTATCTAAACCTATGTGTTTCAAATTTTGGTAAAACTACAAAATCACAATTTGAGACAAAACTTCGAATTTGCTACTTAAAAAAGTGATTTAAAAATCACTTATTTCAATAAGTCCCCTGACTGTATATAATTAAGTGTGGTGGCGGTGTATATAAGTGTACAAAGAAGAAGTTTTTAATATACATGCAAGTGCCAGAAATGCTGAATATTCAATACTATGTAACGGATAAGGGATTCTACACTTCAAAAGGACTTCCCAATCTAAGTGGTTCATCTGGAAAAGGTGGAATTTACAGAATAGGTAACAGGTAACAAGTTGTGTAACTTTTTTGCATGCACATTACTGTTATGTTTTGTATGTCAGTTTAAAACTCAATAGGGCTTATGTTATGTCCATGTTTGTATACTATGTCGACTCTAAATAAAGCTTATTTATTATATTTAGTATTTATTAAAATATCGACTAGCCATACCTTCCTATTGATGACACAATTAAGGTTCATCATAACAAATGGAGAAAAAAGGGCTGTGTTTAGACCTCAAAAACTCCTCTGAGTACAGACTAACCTGTGCTGTTGGAAAAGTTTTAAGGCCTGGCATCCACTAGATATGTAATGATTTTATAGGGGTATGTGTATGCATTATATTACCTGAATATAACAATCCTAGGCTTGAGTCATTTGGTCATCTATCAGGCCACTCATCAAATGGGGACGTCCGATCAGGATAACAACATGGGTAATGACTGTCAAATATACTATGGGGAATCCTGGAAATCCTTAAAATGACGTAGTAGTCTTCCGAATGTACATTGGTAATAGTAAAGTCAAGTATATGTAGTTCCGAGTAAACTGGTGTTATACCATATTCATAACAGATATATATATAAAAGTTAAATGCATTTTGTTTTTCAGAAAGATAAAATCTTTTTTTGATTTTGATGACAATTTTTTTTCGTTCCTGCAGAAGGTGTAAAAATAACTAAGTTGGGAGATGCTCCCTCTCAGGTAAAAACTGTATGGAATTGTATTGATTGTCCTTAGCTTGATTGGCATGGACAATAGACAAACAATAGATATTGATTGGCATGGACAATAGACAAACAATAGATATCTACACAACTATAGGTGAGTTAAAGGGTGTAACTGAGTGGACAGTATCAAAAGCAATTGAGGTGTTTGTTTATTTTTACACCTTCTGCAGGAACGAAAAAAAAAGGCCCATCAAAATCCAAAAAAGATTTTATCTTTCTGAAATACATATTGCTTTTATCATTTATATATCTAGTGGATGCCAGGCCTTAAAACTTATTCAACTGCACAGGTTAGTCTGTACTCAGAGTAGCTTTTGAGGTGTAAATACAGCCATTTTTGTCCATTTGTTATGATGAACCTTAAGTTAAGTGGGCCGGTTGAAGTGCCTGTGGTTAAAAGGGTGCGAAATGGTAGCTTGATACGAAATGAGAATTTTTTTTTTTTGCCCAGTGGTTGTGAAAAATCATCAAAGTTACCAGGCTTATATATCATATCAAGTATTGTGTACCCTTTTGACTTGATACATCTGACGTTATTACCTCATTACAGTGAGTCAACTGCCTGTGGTGGTCACGTACATGGGAGACAGGGAACCAGACTAATATTAATTTTTAATTTCCATTACGAGTAAGTAATCCCGTACCCGACAAGATTTTGAAACAGTAGAATTTACCGTGTGCCTCAGAGGTTTTACTTAAACCAGAGTCAAAATGCCTGTGGATAATGAAAGTATAAAAGTCTGTTGATGCCTTTTGGTCTGAAAAGCTGTTTACTGAATCCATATTTGTATCTGTATCTGTCTAACTTCTGCCAATAAAGGCACACATCCACTAATTGGGAGTAATGGAATTCCTTATCCTCCACCAATAATCAGTTTAATTTGTTCATCTAATATCTAACAAAAAAAAATCTTTTCTCCAATCCTCCATCAATAAAAGGTAAAAGTTTATGTACAACTGTGAACACACTGTATCCACTAGATTAATGTCTCTTTGGTGGGATATATATGACATAAACTAGGATTTCCTCGAATTTGAATTAAGGTAGATCATAAGTATATATTTTTTGATACAGAATTTTCTTATAATTTGCCAAAATGAAGATTTTACTATGCTTTTTTCAAAAATATAATAAAAAGTATGGGTCACCGTGCTATTTTGCAAGCTATGAATCGTTGAAAATTGCTTAAATTTGGTTAGATTGTTCATGAAAAAACACATTTGTGTGCATAAAAAAAATTCTATGAGATAGAATTTTGAAATAAATTGTGAGAAGATAGGTTTTATAATATGTTTTAAGAAAATAAAAAGAAAAAATAGTGTCACCGAACTTGTTTTCTTGCTACAAGTAAAAATTAAAAATTTCCCTATTAGTCCAGTATAAATTTTTTACTAAAAGAGTTATTTCCCCTGAAATGGCTCTTTTAAAAAAATGATTCTAAAAACAACAAAAAATGATATTTGTTTAAATATTTTGAATAATACAATAAATCACCAAGTTTTCTTTATATAAATAAACAGTCTAACTATTAAATTGCAAATCTGTCTCCAAATTTGCAGATTTGGGCAAAAAACTAGACCGATTTTGTACTGCGATTGTACAATCCAAGATGGCGGTATACCATGAATCTACCTTAAGCTGAGATAATCTTAGTTTATCTGAGATAAACCGGGATTATCTGAGATAATCCTAGTTTATCTGAGATAATCTAAGATTAATTAATAAAAGTGGTTCAGGCGTGCTATAGGATATAGTTATTTACACTTTAACCTTAAGCTTTAACAATAATGATGAATTTTTGTGTATTGAATTATTATTACCAAAATCTAAACCTATTTTTGTCGGGACTTGTTATCGACCCCCTCAAAATTGTAATTTTGTTGAGAAATTTGAATTTTTTTTGTAACAGCTAAGAGAGGATTGTGAAATTATATTACTTGGTGATTTGAACATATGTTTTAAAGATCAGAGTGGATCACTGTATAAATCTTTTAATGAGCTTTTAAAATTGTTTAATTTAAGTCAAATTATTAAAGAGCCAACAAGAATAACAGTATTTACAGCATCTGTAATAGATCATATTTTATGTAATAATAAAGAGAAAATCTCTCAGTCTGGTGTACTAAATATTGGTTTTAGTGATCATTGTATGGTATATTGTACTAGAAAATTAGCAAAATCTGTATATAATAAGCACAGTAATGTTAAAGTCAGATCTGTGAAATCTTATAATAAAGATGAATTTATAGCTAAGCTTACTAAAGCAAAATGGGAAAGGTCAACTGAAATTTTAATAGATATTCAGCAGAGAGACAAATTTTTATCTGATTTTAAGACTTCTAAAAATCCTGAAGATTTCAAAAAGTTTAGTGAACTTAGAAATCATGTTCAAAGATCTTGCAAAACTGCAAAATCTGACTATTACAGCAGTGAAATTGAATAAAATAGAAATAACCCAAAACAACTTTGGAAAAGTTTTAAAAATTTAGGATATCAAAAAGATCCTAAATTAAATCCTAATATAGTATTAAATATTGATGGGCAAAACTGTCACGATAACAAAAAGATATCAAATAATCTTAACATGTTTTTTACAACTATAGCTGCAAAACTGGTAGAAAAACTACCAACTGCAAAGGGTTTATATAGTGCCACTACAAATATTGTTAGATCCTTTTATGTTCAGAGAAGGAAATCAGATATTTTTTTTAACCTAAAGCATGTAACAGAGGAATTTGTGTATAAAGAACTATGCAGTTTAAATATAAGTAAGAGCATGGGCCTAGATGGTATTCCAGCAAGGTTTCTTAAGGATGCATGCAGCCCCAATTCTGAAAATACCCATTACTTTCTTGATAAATTTATCTATCTCTGAAGGTACGGTACCTGACGATCTGAAAACGGCTAAGGTCAAGCCTCTATTTAAGAAAAATGACAGACTTAAGCCTGAAAATTACAGGCCTGTTAGCATTTTAAGTATTGTTTCTAAAATTCTAGAAAAAGCTGCCTATAAGCAACTTGAACATTTTTTGATTTCAAATAATTTATTATTTGAGTTTCAATCAGGATTTAGAAGTTCATATTCAACTGATTCTTGTCTCATTCACTTGATAGATCACATTAAAGCTCAAACAGCCAAAGGTCTTTTTACAGGCATGGTCCTATTAGACCTACAGAAGGCATTTGCCACAGTAAATCACAAGATATTATGTGACAAATTAGAAGTAATTGGGTTAGATCTATACCTTGGTTTGAGTCATATTTAACAAACAGAAAACAGGTTGTAAGTGTAAATGGGGTGATTTCAGAAGTGTGTAATATTACATGTGGTGTCCCTCAAGGTAGCTTACTGTGTCCACTTTTGTTTTTGATCTATGTCAATGATGTTCAAACTAGCATCGACTCAGATTGTAAAGTTTTGATATATGCAGATGATACTGCAATTTTATTTTCCCATATAGACCCTGGGGTCATCTCGCATAAATTATCCGGAATGCTGGAATCATGCCATGATTGGTTAACTGACAATAAATTGTCCTTACATTTGGGAAAGACGGTGAGTATAATTTTTGGTCCTGGTCGAAAACTTCGGTCTTTAATACCGGGTGATTTCGCTATCTCCTGTAATGGTATTAATATTGAATCCAAAACTTTTGTAAAATATTTGGGAATAATAATTGATCAGTTTCTAACTGGTGATTTTATTGTCAACTCTATAGTGAAAAAAGTCAATCAAAGCTTAAATTTTTATATAGAAACAAAGAGTGTCTAAATTTTCAATCTAGGAAAACATTGTGCTCTTCCCTGATTCAATGTCATTTTGACTATGCATGTGCATGCTGGTATGAAGGTATATCAAAACAAATGAAGAATAAACTCCAAGTGGCACAAAATAAGATTGTGAGATTTATTCTGCAATTACATCCCAGAAAGAGTGTGACATATATTGAATTTAAGAAATTGGGCTTTTTAAATATTAGAAATAGAGTCAAACAACTAAGACTCAATCATGTTTTTAACATTTTTAACCATATATGCCCAAATTATTTACATACTAATTTTGTTAAAAATGAAACATCTTTCAATACAAGATCTAGTAGTAAAAACTTTTATATACCAGCATTAAAGGGTGTGAATCCACCACTTTCTTTTATAATGGAATAAAAGACTGGAATTCGTTACCAGACATGATTAAAAGTTGCTCTAAAAAAATATAATTTTAAAGTACAAGTGAAAAAAATTTTGATGGATAAATTTAAATCCATCTTTAATAGTGAATTTGTTTCTTATTAATTATACTGGGGCTTTGACCATTTATCTGTGATAAATTCTAAATGATTTGTGCTTGTATTTTCTATGTGTCAACCCTTGGTGTAAACTGGAAGTCTCGTTATAAAAGGACCCCACTGGAAATAAGTTTTACTAACTTTTGTGGGTCATCCTAAGATATTAGGCTACAGTGAAAATCTAGTCAAGTTAAATTTCACTCATTATTTAATCTAATCTAATCATATTATCAAAATATCATGAAAATTTTCATAATTTTATTTTTTATTTCTTAAATTAAAATTTTTAGTAAACATGTATATCATTTTAGTGTCTATAAACTATGTCTAGTGCTATATCTGTGTCTTAGTAATATTGTGTATCTGTCAAATTCATGCCTTTTTATCTTGAATAAATATATATATATATAAGCAGGGATATAATTGTAAGTGTAGAGAGATAAAAAAAGACTTAACAGTCTTTTATAACTAATAAGTATATCGTAAAATCTAA